GAATGCCGCTTGCGGCTTCTTTTGCAAGGGACTCCTGTGTCTGAAACTACTGGCAGGTGCAGTGTGAGAATGACAATGTGGGCAGCTACCTTGGGAAGGTGAACCCCTTGTCTAAGAGCCAAAAGCCAAACGAGGGGAAAGATCTGATGAGGATCTTCCTTGCTTTTTAAAAAGCTCTTTAGCAGCCACCGGCATGGGTTATGGGGGGGCCTTCTTTAACTCTTTCCTCCAGTTTGGTGTAGTGGTTAAGTGCGGGGACGCTAATCTGGGAGAACTGGGTTTGATTCCCCACTCCTCCACTTGCACCTGGCTGGATGACCTTGGGCAAGCTGTAGTTCTGATAAGAGCTGTTCTTGAAAAAGAGCCGTTTCTGTCAAGAGCTCTCTCAGCCTCACCTACCTCACAGGGTGTCTGTTGTGGGGAGGGGGAGGGAAAGGAGGTTGTAAGCCGCTCTGAGACACCTTTGGGTAGTGAAGGGCAGGGTATAAATCCAATCTCTTTTCTTTTCTTCTCCTATGCCTTTCCCATTATACAAATACCCCCCCCCCTCCAAAACTGCTTGACACTGCAACTAATTTTGTAGCTTTGGAGAGGCTATTTAAATTATGGGAAGGGCATTTCTTCCAGTGAAGGAAAATGGAAGATATTTCTTTCTTAGTCTTCAAACCAGCCACCTGGGGGAAGTGGAATGCTGAGTGTTGTGTTGTTGTTTTTTTTACAATACTGATCTTTACAATACTGATCTTTTGCACTTGGTCTACTGTGACCTTAAAATGCCAGAATCTCTGTGTCCCTAACCTGGGTTGGTCATTTTCACATTATATTTGTATGTATTTTCAGTACTACTTCGTACCTCCTACACCTGAAGTGTTATTAGTCCTTAATCCTTATCCCCTACTGAAAATAAAGTATGTGCAACTGATCTGTACATGCACTGTTCCCCTGTTCATTCTCTTCTCCATCTACTTCTTCTGTGTCATAATTATGAACTGTACACTCTTTGGACTTGTTTCTGTGCTCTTACTGTGTTAAATCCCAGGTTTCATTGATAGTGCTGTGTAAGTGATAGATCCTTATATTTTCAAGAACAACTATTTGTGCATATTAAAAAAATTTCAGTGCTGATGCAGGAGTGTTAATATTCATTTCAGAAAGCCTGTGTCCACAGTAATGTGAACAGTGGCATAAACGTGGATATTTTTAATCCAGGCAGCAGATTAAAAATACAGCAGTAAACCAACGTATACTGTGGTTTCTTGAGGACTGTACCAGGAATGAAAACTGCTCTGCCTGCCATTCGAACATTACAGCAAAGCATGCCCACAGGAAAAAGTAATGTGCGGAAAAGCTCCCAGATACAGGCTTCTCTTGAGAGGATGTCATATGCCAGCTTGTATTTTCCAAATTTTAACATGAACATTCCTTTGGATGATGTGACTAATTTAGTATAATTGCTATTTTCTCACTCCCCTCCCCCCTCCCGTGTCTTTCCTGTTACAGGTTTTATGCTGCTGAAATTGCAATTGGCTTGTTCTTTTTGCATAACAAGGGAATTATTTATAGGTGAGTACGTGCCTTCCTTCCGCCTGAATGGAAGACGCAGAAATCCTGGTTCCTAGACCTCCCGGCTCACTAGAAAATCCATCTCTCAAAGAATTTCAGGATTCTGGCTCCTAGTTCTTCCTCCTTTCCCTCCTCCCTTGCATAATTATCTAATCCTCATTGTGTAGCACATTCCCCTTGCAATACCAAGATCAGCATTTAAGAGCCCAGATTCTGTTCCCAAATGGCCCTCTTGAGCCACGTAATTCTAGTTTCAGGTGGGTGGCCCTGTTGGCCTGAACCAACAGAACAAAGTCTGTTCAAGGTATACGCTTTTGTGTATCTGAAGAAGTGTGCGTGCGCACAAAAGCTTATACATTGAATAAAACTTTGTTGGTTTTTGAGGTGCCGCTGGACTCAAGCATACTCCTAGTTGTAATCTAGCACCCTCTAGTGGAGATTTTGTTCCAATTGTTTGTGTGCTCTCTTTCCTGCCCAGAGATTTGAAACTGGATAACGTAATGCTGGATGTCGATGGTCACATAAAGATCACAGATTTTGGGATGTGCAAAGAAAACATCTTTCCTGGCGTTACCACCCGGACCTTTTGCGGAACACCTGACTACATTGCTCCAGAGGTGCAGAACCCTCCTAAGCTTTTAATCTCCCTCCCCCTCCCCAGATGACCGCCAGTTTCTTCCAAAGAAATCTTAGGCTGCGATCCTACGCACAATTAGACCCGACATAGGCGCGGATGCGGGGCGGATTTAAAGGGCATGATCAGACAGCAACATCTGGGAAGCGCCCCGCAGCTGTCGGCAACCCGTTCTGCTCTGCCACAGAAGTGGAGTTAAAAGACACCGGGGAAAATCCGGTACTAAACGGGTTGTGACGGGCCACGGACAGACTTTCCGATGTCTGATCGCCCCAGTGCACTCTCATGGCATCGGGATGGTCTGATCAGGCCATCCCAACTCCGTGCCATTGTTTTTTCCCCCCTTCGCAGTATGCGCATCATCACAAACTCCATAGGGAGCCCTCAGTGCGGAGATGTGATTCATCGATCCCTCGGTTAAGCGCATGGGGGAAAAAACAGCACAAAGAACCCTGACTCACCCGCAGTTGCGTCTGATCATGCACTGACGGACTGCGCCCGCAGCTTCAAAGGGAGGTGTGACTGTGCAGCTGCGGGTCAAATTCCTCCAGATGAAATAGCCACGCTTCCCCCCCCCCTGTTTTTTCTGGCATGTCTGACCGCAACCTTAGTTTTCCTTCTCAGATCTAAATTCCATACCAAGAAAACCCAGGATTCATCCTTTCCAGTCCAGTTTTTAGCATGTTTTAGATTTCTGAAAACTGAAGCCCTGATTTCCATCCTCTATACCCTGCACTTGGGGTCATACTTGGTGTGAGAGGGTGGCGAGTCTGTGCTTGTTTTATTGATATGTCTGGTCCATTTAAATATAAGCCGTTTGTGTGAGGTGTAACAAAAAGTAACACTGGAGAGGGAAGGTGAATCCTGAGGGGAGGGAAACCCCCGAAATGGCTGATTCCAAAATACCTGAGCAACTGTCTGCACCTAAATGTATCTGCCTGGGGCTTGAAATCAGCTACTGAGGCCCTGTAATGGAGCCTGCTCAGTCCATGGGAAGGTTGGTGAGATCTTATGGCAGAGCATTTTCAGTGGTGGCACCCAAACTATGTGCTTCCAACCTTTTGGGATGCAGCCGGACCCTTATATTTTGGCCCTCTGGCACAATCTTTCTTGGCAGGGGGAGGATCGTTGAAACTATATTGATGTTCTAGGCACACAGAGGTCTTTTACAAGCTCTTTAAGGAGCGCTGCTGAGAGGGTTCTTGGTGACTGTTATAATGGTTTATTCAATTTTAAAACTCTTATTTTATTTTATTCTATTCTGGTTTATTTTGGTTTATTTCATTTCATTGCTTCAGATTTTATTGAACGCTACTGCATTGCTTCCAGTTATCTGAGAATAGGTCTGAAGTATTATAGGCGTCCTCTTTGCCATCTAGCTTGGACCTCAGAGCCTTTGGAATGGGAGTAGAAGGAATGGATCAACCTGTCAATTAACAATTGTTTTGTTTTTTTACCTCCTTTATAGCCTGCCTTCCTTGCTGGAAAGGCAAATCCCACAGTGCAATAAAAACAGGGCAGTAATAGCAGTGTCGTAGACACGAGCAGCACTCTGCCCCAGTTGGCCCCATTACTTTCACAGAGAGCCCAGGGCTTGTAGTTCTCAGCTTTTTCACCTTCCCTTTCTCCTGGTCTTAGATTATCGCCTACCAGCCTTATGGGAAATCTGTGGACTGGTGGTCGTATGGTGTCCTCCTTTATGAGATGCTGGCTGGACAGGTGAGTGGATTCCAGGCAGGCTTTCCCCCCTCTATATCTATTCCAATTCAAAGGCTGTCTTTTTCATATGGGGGAAATTGCTGCTAGATCTGGTGATGAGGCTTTAAGGTAAGCAAGGAAGATAGCAGACGATAGATCTTGTTGGAATTGATTTTCAGTGATGGCTAGACTCTGCAAAGGACTCATATTTAAGTGTCTGATTAGAACGCTGTTCAGATAGGAATGTTTTATAGGTGCTTCAGCCAGCAGCTGAGCAGAGTCTTCATGCTTCTCTCTATGCTGTGCTTTCTTTTTCCTCCTCCCACCATGAGCGGGGGGGGGGGAGTCGCGTGTCATCTCTTCCAAGCCTTTATGGGCGCTTGAACAAAACCTTTAAAAGGATATCTGCAGTCATTTAAAGCACATTAACATTCCCTTTATCACACAGGAATACACTGCGCCACTGCTTGATCTTCGTGGTCTCTGTGCTTCACACCAATGGGTCTAGTGCGCCTGCGCTGGATCAAATCGGTGCTGTAGCAAGCTCTCTACAAGGATTTTCGCGCCCATCCCCTCAGGCAAGCGCAGGGCCCACTGCGCATGCCCAAGGGGGCGGGCGCGGACATCCCACCAGTTTTTTTCCTACCGCCGCGTTGGAAGGACTTCTTTTACTTCGCTCCGTTCGGATCGCTGTTTTTTGCTCTCAGTACTTTGTTTTTGGTTTCTTTTAAGGAACCGCATCTTTTTATTTATTTTGTGTGTTTATTCAAAAAAAAAAAAAAGGACTTTGTAGTTTCGTTTTGGTGAGGGGTTTTTTACCTCAGACCTTCGGGTCTCTGAGGTGATTTTTTCCAGGCTGTTTAGCCTTTCCTCCACACACCCGTCTTAATTTGAAGGAACTGGTGGGATGTCCGCGCCCGCCCCCTTGGGCATGCGCAGTGGGCCCTGCGCTTGCCTGAGGGGATGGGCGCGAAAATCCTTGTAGAGAGCTTGCTACAGCACCGATTTGATCCAGCGCAGGCGCACTAGACCCATCGGTGTGAATGCACAGATGACCACTCGAAGATCACCAGTTACTGGTAAGCAACCTGTTTTTACAGTATGCCAGGTTCCAAGGAGTATTGATCTAGTAAGAGGGACCTGGAGTGAATTTTATGGAAAATAGATTTTACTAGCTCTTTCAGGATATAGTAGGCCCTGTGTTTGAAGTGGATCATAGAATTCAACGAGAAAGGGATTTAGATGGTCATGCATTTAAAAAGTCCCATTGAATTCAGTGGATCTTATTTCTGAGTAAACCTGCTTAGGATGACACTGTGTGTGTTAGCGAGAGAGGCTTCACATTTGGTGCCTGGCAAGAGGATGTGCAGTGAACTGTGTTGTCTTTGTCCACACATTCAGGACCTTTTGTCTTTGGGGGTCATATAGGCAAGATGTCCTATTCCTCCTTTGCATGAAAGCCTGGAAGTATGGAAAGAATAAATGCAACTTGTGCATTCCCCATACATCCTAATATACCCTTGTGGGGGGAGCATGTGTTTCTTTCTTTGTGGTTGCAATATCTTTTGCTACTTTGGCATCATACATGAAGCAGATCATAGCAGCTAGGCCCTGGGTTTGTATCGGGATTTCACAGTAGGAAAGGTGTTTTATAGACTGAAATCCATCCACAAGCTGTCTCCTGGACAGAACTAAACCTGGAAGGGAATATATCAAACTCATTTTCCGTGTTCTCTCTACCTGCAGCCGCCATTTGATGGAGAAGATGAGGACGAACTGTTCCAGTCCATCATGGAACATACAGTGTCCTATCCCAAATCGCTTTCACGAGAGGCCGTCTCCATCTGCAAAGGGGTGAGTCCTGGATCTGAATTGGTGCCCCTAGAGGAGCAAGGCTCCCTTCATTGAGGGTGAGACTAGATCTTACAAGGGAAATAAGGGGTTCTTTCCCTGTGTTTCCTTTAGAATGCTAATATGGGAGTGGGACTTGAAGGGAAAAAATAATGGATGAACATTGGATGCCTTTCAACTGCTCCCTCCATGCTAAGGTTTTTTTTGTGTGTGTGGATGTGTGCGCGCGCTGGTGCCTGGAAGTCATAGTGACTTCTGGTGACTCCTGGGGCATGGAGGATGTTCAGAGAAGTGGCTTGATCGCCTGCCTCTGCCTCCCGGCCCTGGTATTCTTTGGAAGTCAGTCCTGCTTAGCATCTGAGATCTGACGAGGCATGCTATATTTAATTGGTTTAGTTCACCTTGAGATGGGGTGAGACTCCAGGAAGTTGGAAGTAAACCCAGCTGAAGGGAGAATTCCTGTGGGGAGAGTTGCAGAAGACCAGCAGAGAGTGATGGAATTAAACATCCCTGTCTCTTGACTGCCCATCCTCCCCTGTAAGCACCCAGGGCCTCTGCAGGCTTCTGGAAAATGTTGCTTTAAGGCACGCATTTGCTGATAGAACATCTTGTTCCATGACCCACCAGGAGCCAAGACGTTTTTTATTGGAGCCTGAGTTCCTTAGAGCCAGAGAGCAGCACTAGCAAACTTCTCTCTCTCTCTCTCCCCCTATCTCCCTCCCTCCCTCTCCCTCCCCCCCCCTTTTCTCAGTTCTTGACCAAGCATCCGCTGAAGCGCCTGGGATCTGGGCCTGATGGTGAACGGGATATTCGAGAGCATGGCTTTTTCCGCTGGATGGACTGGGAAAGGCTGGAAAATCTGGAAATCGCCCCACCCTTCATCCCCAGGCCAGTGAGTAACTTTAAGGCTTCTCCCGCATTCAGGCCCATTCAGCGAAGCAGACTCGCATTGTTTGTTCTGTACACGCATGCATGCACAGGTGAAGAGCATGTTTTTATTGTCTTGTGCATCAGAAAAAAAGCAGACTGTACCTATGCATGCATGACTACTGATACATGAACTCAGGCACAGTCTCCTGCAATGCTCCCTCTAAGCTGTGGAGTCTTGTGAGCAAAAATTCTACTTTGTGAGCTACCGGCATTGAAGTTGTGAGCGAGCAATTTGGCTACCGCATAACTTAGTTTCCTCTGGAGCCATCCTTCCTGGGCTAAGACAAAAAAATCTGCGAGCTGGAGGCTAAAAAACTGAGTTAGCTCACACTAACTCAGCTTAGAGGGAACACTGGTCTCCTGTCCATACTCACACATTTGTTCACATGTAGCAGGCACCAAACATGCAGTTTGCTATCATGCTACTTCTCTGTTGGCACATGTCTCTGTGCATGTACGTACAGCTGTTTCCATATCTGAACCTCCTCTTTAAGCAGTACATCTGTTCACACCCTTATCCTGCATGAAGGGGGGAAAAAATCCTACAGTGGCCAAGATGCATTTATTCTCTGTTCTGCTTCCTCATCCTCTTTCTTGCCACTTCTCCTCCAGATCTTTAAAATGGAAAAAATGATCTCATGGTTGCAACACACAGAAGATCCAAGTATGAAGCTTCTGAAATGCCAGTTCTTTTCATTTTAAAATGTCGCTTTCCTTCACTGCTGATCCCAGTTGGCATAGGGATTCATTGCAGCTTCCTGCATTGTGACATTGAAATGTCTTTGGAACCAAAAAAACATAAAAACGGGCAGAAAAAGAGCTAGGGGAACTCATTAGCATAACTCATTAGCATATGCCACACCCTCTGACATCACCGGAAGTGTGTCATAAGGCCACACACCCTGACATCACCGGAAGTGTGTCATAAGGCCACACACCCCACCCCCAACGCTCCTGGCCGCCACTGCCGGCCTTGCAGCTCCACTGCCGAGCCCCATGAGGAGCCCGGCGGTGGACCTGCAAGGCCAGCGGGAGTGCGAGGAAGCCCCGCAAAGGCCCTCCCTGGCCCCAGGCAGGCAGGCAGGGGTGGGGAGAGGCAGGGAGGAAGCAACTTACCCTCCTTCTTCTCCTGCCTCCTCCTGGCTGAATGAGGGCCGGAAGCGGGGCGGCCGGAAGCAGGGGGCGGGGCTTCGTCATGTGCCCCGCCCCCGTACCTCACCCGGGGGAACTGCGATCCCCCGCGATTCCCCCCCGAAATGACCTCTGAAAACGGGTCTCCTCGACACCCTCTTTTCTTGTCCCAAGAACATAATAGTCTTTAAAATGTGAAGGTTTTGCTTTTCGAGGTTTAATTGTTGCCTTCAGAGCTTCTCTTTCCAACTCTTCTTCGTGAGAGTTAATAAAGATCTGGTAAACAAGACTTGGGCGGTCAACGGAGAATTGAAAAATACCTTGGTTAAGAATTCATATTTGCATGTCATATTCTAATTTTAGAAAAAGTCATCTAATAGCATAACCCTCCTTGAAACACTAGCAAATTAAAAATGGGGGGTGGGGTGAGGGTGGATATTAAACAAAACGCAGGGCTCTTTTTGTAGAAAAAGCCCAGCAGGAACTCATTAGCATAATAGGCCACACCCAACAACAGGAACTCATTAGCCTATTGGGCCACACCCCTGACAGCACAGCTCATTAGCACATTAGGCCGCACCCACATGTTACCAGAAGTGTGGTTATCTAGCCACACCCACCTTGTGCTTGTTATTCTGTTTACCTTGTTTGTTGTCAAAACCCAGGGCCTTTTTTTGTAGCAGGAACTCCTTTGCATGTTAGGCCACACACCCCTAATGTAGCTAATCCTAATGAGTTTCTGCTGTTGGGTGTGGCCTATTATGCTAATGAGTTCCTGCTGGGCGTGGCCAACTCGGGAGCCAGCCGGAACTCCGTTCCTGTGTGTTCCTGCCCAAAAATAGCCGACTGAGCAAGTGAAAAAGGTGGTGGGGATGGAGATTAAACAAAAAGTCTAAGATTTCTCTTTTCTTCCTTTTCTCTTTTCCCTTCCCTTCCCTCCTCTTCCTCCAGTGTGGCCGGAGTGGCGAAAATTTTGACAAGTTCTTCACCCGAGCGCCACCAGCTCTGACGCCTCCAGACCAACTGGTCCTTGCAAGCATTGACCAGAGTGAATTCCAGGGGTTCACCTACATTAACCCTGAATTTGTACACCCGTCCACATTGCGGAGGGGAAGCCTCTCCCCAACTAGCCTGCCCCTCTCTCCCACCGGGATGCTCCCTTCCCCTACTTCCTTAGTGTGACCACATCCACCCTTAATAACCTTTGACCCTAACACTCCCCTAAGCAGAAACCTTGCCTGTAGATCTCTGCTCTCAAGAGCATGACTCCACCTTGAAACCCAACCCAAGACCCCCTTAAATCATTTTATTACCATCTCCTCCAAGAGTGTTGCTTCCATCCTCCTTTCCTCCGTGGGGGAAACCAAATCAGCAAAGATAAGAAAAAAACACACACATACTATATATAGTCTATATAAAGGAGAGATAAAATAGGAACCCTCCCTATATTCGAGGTTCCCATTTTTGAACCTCTCCAAATTTTAACCGAGAGGTGTGTTCTCAAAAGCAAGGCAAACTGTGCTAGCATTAATAATACAAGGAGTATTTAGGAGTAATGGCAACTTGCCTAGCCATAGGATTGCTTCTGCCTAATTTCGTATTTTGATTATTTGGCAAAGGGGCCTTTGGAAAGGCTTAATTTACGGGAAGGAGGTGGGGTGAGGTCTGGCTTAGGCTTGCCTAGAAGCCACGTATGGCCTCTCCTGCCACTCTGCTTCCTAGTTTACATGATAGCAAAGCTTTGGAAAGTGGGTTGAATAACAGCATGAGAAAACAGGGCTGTGTGAAGCATTGAGATCCAAAGGCGTTCGCAGAGCCACTTAGACCAGCCAGGTGTCTCATCCCCTACAAATGGCCGTACAATTTGACCCCTGGGCCTTTCTTCTTCAACAGGGTTCAGTTTCTTTAGTGAAGGAGTTAAGAAACTACCGTAAGACAGGCATGTGGCAAAAGAGGAGTCTGTAATATTTGGCCCACCGGAGAAGGGGCAGGCCTTAGGTGCAGAATAGCTGCATTCTGCCGCCCACAGATACCCAAAGTGCCATGGCTCCCAGCTCCTGTGGGACCAGATGAGGCAACTGGGCTGATGGTTGATACAACCCCCCATCTTAAACCACAGGAATCCATTCAAGCTGGTTGGGGCTGCAGCTCACTTTGTCCCTTTGCTGGCACTTCACTGTTTGCCAATATAACCCGTTGCCTAAGGCAGGTCAGCATAGATAGGGAGGGAACAGGGTGTGATGACTCTGAGCTTGGGTGTGCCACCTGAGCTTGGATGTCCTGGAAGAGAGGGACAGTTTAGAGCAGGAACAGCTGGCTGGCTACTATTTAAAGCTAAGGGCCAAGGAGGACGCCGGCTTGGCTTGGCTTGGGGTGCAAGCTGCAAAGGAATTTATTTGCAAGCCTTCCCTATTTCTTCTGGTTGGCTCCCAGGAGGTCAGAAGAACCCTTTGGCCATCCCAGGTCTCCGTTTGGAGATACAACTTCTTCTTCTTGTTCCCCGAGAGTGCCAACGCAAACTGGGTAATTTCCACTACCACCAATGACCATGGAAGTATCTCCTTGCTAAACAAAGTTGTACATCTAGCACTCTGTACCTGCACTGCTGTTTTTAGAAGCTTTGCCTAGTTGCTGTGCCTCCTACTAAACTCCTACAAGCAAGCGTGGGAGTAATCTATTGCAACTCTGCAAACTTGAGCTATCGTGCTGCAGGAATGGCAAGCTTACCTGCTGCCCCTCCCTGTTACCACTCTTCAGATAGCAAGACTGAATAAGTGTGGTATTTTTCTAGAGATCAGGATTAAAAATATGAGAAAGTTTATTAAATTAATTAAAATAATATACTTGTCCTGTCCAGGCTGAGCAAGGGACCAAAGAAAAGGTGAAAACATTCAGTCCCCTTTCCTTACACTGGGAGCTTATCCTTAGCAATGTTTAATTAGGACAGGCTAGCTTTACTTGAAGTTTCAGTAATTGAAAGTTAGCTTAGTTCTCCTGGTTGGGAGTTCTCCCTGTTGTCCCTTGCTGTGTGGACAGGATGGAGTTCCTAGGCAATGGCTTGTGCCCATATGAGGAACTGGAAGCTAAGAGAACTTCTTCCTCATGCCCTGAGTTTAATTAATTTCTGTTTTTCTCCCTCCTCACTTGGGGATGACCTTACTATCCCTTCCTTTCTCAAAAGGTAGAGTTTACACTCTAGCAATTTGGCTGGTTCCCTCTGTCTTTTTTGGGTGTGATGTACTAGGAGGCTGTGGGGTTGTAAACCTGCATCAGCCAGAGTCATTAGCATAACCAAAACCTTGAACGTTCTGTGCTTGGTGTTTGATGGCTACTTCCTTCAGCCCCCATCCCTTCTTTATGCCAGCTGCTAGTTTCGAGGTGGGTTCCTGAGAACACATAGTCACAATAATTTATTTATTTATTCATTCATTCTTTAGATTTGTATCCCGCCCTCCCCGAAGGCTCAGGGCAGCTAACAAGGGCATAAATGCCTAATAAAACAATAAAAACAGTATAAAAATACAATACAATATACAACATAATACAATCAATAAAATGTCGGTGCTCCACTACTCGCTCCAATTCATAAATCAGGATGGTATTCTGCAGCTGTATATCAATCCAACGACCATATATATGTCCCCGCAGCCCTATCATCCGCCAGGTACGTCTCGCTCCCCCGATGGTACCCGCACCAGCGGTGGTAAGGGTACGGTGATGGAAAAAGCATTGGTGGAATAATGGTGGCGGCGGCTCCTACTCGAAAGCCTGGCGGAAGAGCTCCGTTTTACAGGCCCTGTGGAACTGCCCAAGGTCCCGGAGGGCCTGGATCTCTTCTGGGAGCTCGTTCCACCAGGTAGGAGCCGCCACCGAAAACGCCCTGGCCCTGGTCACAGCGAGTTTGATGTTCCTGGGGCCTGGAATATCCAGGAGATTTTGGGTCCCCGACCGTAGTGCCCTTGGGGGAACATGCGGGGAATTGAAATATTCGTGGTGAGTTCTTGGGTGGAGCATGTTTCTCCGCATAAGCCATGAAGAATCTAAAGGTGATGAAGAATCTTAGGCTCTGGCGGAAGGAATGTGAGTAAGAAAGGGAGTGTAGAGGGAGTTATAATATTTCAGCCCACCAACCAGAGAAGGGACAGGACTTACAACCAGCCAAGCACACTCTCAAACTACTCCAGGTGTTTGTGTGTGTGCGATGGGCATGGAAACCTACTCTTACCTTATTATCTGCCTTGAATGAATGTGCAAAAATGTTTTTGTGGGGTTAAAGAGTAGCCAATGTATATTAAGTGATCTTGAGCAAGTGCAATTTGGAAGTGATTTTCCCGTAGGAGAAAATATGAGGAAATATTCCAGCCAAGCCTCTAAAAACCGACTGTTCCAATAATTCCCTGTAACCCCTTTCAATCCCAGTTCCTTATCCCATACCCAGAACCCAAACCTAAAATAAGGTGCAGCCCCGTGGTGCTTTTTCTTGCCCCATCTGCTACAGTGTGAGAACGTAATCCTAAACATGACATATCCACTCGTAATTCCTTTTTCCTATCTATGCATGAGGTAAGCCTGTCCCCACAGAACTCCTGCATAAAGCTAATCCAGCCATCTTTTCCTCATGACGCCTCACTCTACTGACCCTGCTCCATGCTGAGTCTCACTGGTTCAGTCCCTTTCACAGACACCCTGGATGGTTGGCTCTAAGATGGCCTGGCCTCCCTTCTCACCATCTCAGCTGCTGGGAATAAAACTTTGGAAGGAAGCAATGACGATGATGGAGGTGGCACCAGACACTGACGACAAAATACTTCCCTTCTTCTGTGACAAAGCATGTCCGGAATGCAACCTTTCCCCCACCCCCTTTGGTGCATGGACTATTATATGAATACTATACATTTATTTATTTATTTATTACTGAGATATATGTATCTTCCAAATCTTTGTTATGGACACCCACCGACCTGCATTTGTTCTCCCAAGCTGCACCTTGCAATCTCTTTCCAGCTTTAAAACTGAGGTGTGGTAAACTGAAGATGGCACATTCAGCCCCCCACCCGCCTTGTTCTCCAGAGCTGTTGTTGAATGACCAGAGTCTGTCTAAGCGCAATCATGATTTTTCACTTTACCTTATTGACATGGGAGTTTTTTGTATGATACAAAGATTGGTCAGAGACAGGCAATGGCCAACCACCTCTGAACATCTCTTGCTCGAAAACTCTATGGGGTCTCCATAAGTTGGTTGTGACTTGAGGGCACTTTCTACCATAAAGGTTGGTATGTACTGTCTGAGGGAAAACCCCATCAAACTCAAGTTCTTCTGGGGCTGCTTCCATATGGTGAGGTTTCTCCAGTTGCTAACAGCAATGATGAAAATGGCAGGGGCATTTGCACTGGCCAGGAACCTTCCACATGGGCATTTTTCACACACTTGCCTGCCGTCAGCCTGTCGGGGCCACCACCCCTTTGCTTTGCCATCAGGGTTTTGGTTTTTTTAAAAAAATCTCTAACTGTTGTAGTGTTTAGTGTTCTAGCTTTACAGCCATTTCCCCCTGGCAGCATGGTGGGGAAAACAGCCGTTGTGAGGGACTGACAGCAGGAAAATGGTACCAAAGGGGTTGGGATCCTTGCAAATGTCCCCTCCCTTCTAGATGGTACAATAACAGACTTGGACAGCCTTGTAGCAAAGCAGGGAAAAGGGTCAAATCTTGGAAAGAGGACTGTTGGAGGACAACTTTGTGTAGATGCTCCAAATTTTAAAAATGCTCCTGTTTGAAAGCAAATGTGGAGAAAAAACCGTGATGTGGAAGCAGCCTGGATGTGGTAAATACCAGCTTTTGCCACCAGTGGGCATGTTCAAACAAAATGTTTGCTTGTGCTAATCTGACATGGTTCAAATTCCCGTTCTGGCTACTGCTACAGTGCCAAAAAGTAATATGAAAACTGTGCCTGAGTTAGCAATAGAAGAGGGGAGGGGAAAGAATGATTCTGTTTCTAGAATGCTTGTGTAATTGGTGGAACGTAGAAATGTTGTCCCCTTTGCCTCATGGAACAAGACTCCCAGTCTTGGAGCCGCAGAGCCAGCACCCCTCTTTTGATTATCCCGTGTCACCCTGAAGCTTTCTGAAGGTAGATAAATCCGGTCGGTCCACACATATTGAAACTATGCTAGCCAGCCATACCTG